AGAACCTGGCTGGAGATCCTGGATAGAACCAGGCGAGAGAACCCAACCGTGCTGATCAACTGAATGTGTCATTCCTTCTTTGCAGACTCCGTCCCCACCTATGGGAACCCCTGGACCTGCAGAGGCTGGACCCCAACATATGGCGCCCGAACAGGATTCCCCTAGCCGACCCAGAGGGCACAGCTGACTCCTCCCCGGACACGGACACCACCATCAACCACGGCCCTGATGGACCCTTTGATGCAGCCCTTCAACTCGCTGACCCTTTGGGAAGCCCGTCGCCAATGACGCCGCCCGCTAGCCAGATCAACAAGGACAACCAAACCACCGACTTGAGGACAGCTGAAATCCCTTGACTGAAGAGGCCAGCAAACTTCTACAGGAACAAGGCTCCTTGTGCACTCCATCCACTATGTTTATAGCTATGCTCGCTATCATTGCTTGTCAGTCTTCTTCCGAGTCTTAAACAACCCAATCCGAGAGGTGGCCGCTGATTTACATGCGCTATCATTTAAAAAATAAAAAAGGGGGAATTTGCCGGAAGCCAGTCCATCCTTGCTGCTTGACACAGTCGCTGCAGGGAAGAAACATCTGCACAGCATATGTTTCAAGGGACCTGGCGAATATGGCATACTGTTCTTAATATGTTTGCTCCCCTTCTTGGCACTATGTGTTTTAACCAAGGTCACCTCTCTGAGAAAGGTTGTTTCCCCAGGTAGGGATTTTTCCCTGAAGTTAGGGAGGGAATAAAACCCCTTAACTAAGTGCCAGGCGGGTAGTTAATCATTTTAACTATGAACAATCATGCTTAAGCTACATAATCTTTACTCCCTGGAATGGAGATAAGAAACGCCCTAACCTTTGGAATAGAAATTGATAGGATTAAAATCAACTGGTATAAATACAGATGTAACAAGACAATAAAACATAGAACCTGGCTGGAGATCCTGGCTAGAACCTGGCTAGGCTGCTGATCAACTGAAAAAAAAAAAAAAGTGGGTACTATTATTAGCATGTCATCTTCTGCTTTTTTCCTGAGTCCTCCTGGAAGGGAAAGCACGAAGCTCAGCACTGGGGCCATGCAGACCCATGGGCAATCCCAACTCTGCATCCTAGAACTGTGGGATCTTAGAAGTTTCCCTGCTCTGGGCCTCAGTCTTCTCATCTGTAAAGTGGAGGTAACAGTCATTTTTTTTTTTTTTTTTTTAAATTTGATTTTTTTTTTTTTTTTTTTTTACGTAACAGTCATTCTTCCTGCTGAGAATGCTAGTGAAAATTGGAGGAAGCCTGTGAAGGTTCTGAACTGAGCCTCATCCTGGGTAACCCTCAATAAGTGTGTACATTATATCTGGCCCACAAATAAGTGGATGCAAAATAAGTGGAAACTGTTCTTATGTATATTTATTTTAAATCATTTACTATATAACCATACTACCTGCTCTTCATTTGAAAACTCAGATTTAGCTGCTTCTGCTGTGTTTCACAACAGATCCTTCAAACCAGACTAGCGCATTTTTTTAAACCTCTGTGTGGTCCCTGACTCCCCTTGGTCCCACAACCCTCACTTTGAGGCCTTAGTTCTAAATATAATTGACAAGTCCATTTTATCCAGCAAGGGCTCCTTTTATTCATTCAGGGTGGGTTTTTGAAACTCAGTGCAACTTTATAAAGTCAAGGTGCCAGGAGAGTGAGCCTGCCAAGTGCAGAGAAGCATAAGAAGCTTACGGAACCTCCAGCCCCATGGACACCCTCAACGAGCCTATGGCCATGGCTGCTGGCCCACAAGGAGCTGAGTGGACCTCAGAATGAGATCAGGGTGCCTGCTCTGTGTGAAGCTCAGGACCACTTCCATCTGTCCTCCACATATACAACAGTGTGCAAAACAATCTGAAAACATCTTCACACAGGATCACAGAATCAGCTCCACTTGGCATCTCTTGGCCTAAGAAGCATTCTGGCCGTGCAGGAAGGGTCAGGCAGTTTCCCTTCTTCCAAAAGCCAGGGCATCGTCAGCTGCCTCTGGCCTGCCAGCTCAACCTTCACACAGGTGTCTCCTCTGCCACCTTCTTCAGGAATCCTGCTGCCAGCAGGGAGTGCTGGGTAGCCTCGGAGCCATCCGTGTCCCGGATCTTCAGGTGTACTTTCTGGTTGGTCCTTCTCCATTCAGTGTATAGCTGGTAATGATAGCGGAAGGAGACCTACGGGGCAGGGCAGAGATGGGTGGGAAGGCCAGCCAGCAGGCCTCCACCCCCAAGGGAAGAAAACTGGACTCCTGAGACACTGGCCTTGGCCCGCACCAGGGTTGGACTCAAACTTCCAGAAGAAGAGACAGCTGCGAGGTATTTTTCATACAGACTGTGCACACAAACCCATTCACTATTGTGGGGAAAGTCTCCACCAGTGTTCAAGACCCTGCAAATGAGAGGGGTCTCTCAGAGGGTGGAAGTGAAGTGGTATAGCCTCTTGGAAGGGATTAAATGCCACTGGGTCATATAATTGCCAAAACTTGGAAACCATCAAGATGTCCTTCAGTAAGTGAATAGATAAATAAACTGTGGGACATCAGATGATGAAATATTCAGCACTAAAAAGAAATGAGCTATGCCATGAAAGGACATGGAGGAACCTTAAATGTATGTTACTAAGTGAAAGAAGCCCGTATAAAAAGGCTATAAACTGCATAATTTCAACTCTCTGACATTCTGGAAAAGGCAAAACTATGGAATTGTCAGGAGTTGAGGATAGGAGAGGAGGGATGAATAGCTGGGGCACAGAGGATTTTTAGGGCAGTAAAACTGCTCTGTATGATACTGTCATGGTGGATACATGTCATGATATATTTATCCAAACCTATAGAACAGTGGTTCTCCACCTTCTGGCCCTTTAAATACAGTTCCTCATGTTGTGAACCAACCATAAAATTATTTTCGTTGCTACTTCATAACTGTAATGTTGCTACTGTTATGAATTGTAATGTAAATATCTGATATGCAGGATGGTCTTAGGTGACCCCTGTGAAAGGGTCGTTCAACCGCCAAAAGGGTTGCGACCCACAGGTTGAGAACCGCTGCTATAGAATGTACAACCCAGGATGAACCCTAATGTAATCTATGGACTTAGGGTGATAATGATGTATCAATGGAGATTCATTAATTGTAAGAAATGTACGCTCTGGTGCCATGTGGATAGTGGGGGGAAGCTGTGTGTATGGAGGAGAATATATGAGAACTCTATACTTTCTGATCAATTTTGCTTTATTTATTAGAATCTTAAAATGTTCTAATAAATAAAGTCTATAAAAATTACACTAATAAAAGAGAAACATGCAAATTAACCATCACTCCGCCACTCCGCTACATCCACAAGCCACGCCCACCAGTCAATCAGGAGCGAGTATGCAAATTAACCCAACTAAGATGGCGGCAGCCAGGGAGCTGGAGCGAGGAGGAGGCTTGGGTTGCTCCCGGCAATGGAGGAAGCCAAGCTTGCCCTGGGCTCCGTTCAAGGCTACAAAGTTTCAATTATAGAAGATAAATAAATCCCAGATACCTGCTTCCAGCCTGCCCTGGCCTCCGCTCAAGGAGGCGCTGAAAAAAAGAAAAAGAAAAAAAGGAGAGGCTGGGAGCTTGGGTCACCGGGGGGCGTGGCCAGCCTGCAAACAGCCATCAGCCCTTCACCCAGGCTGGCCAGG